AAAAACCCCCCCCCCCCCCCCCAAAAAAAAAAAAAAAAAAAAAAAACCAATTCCACCCGACATACTCCAATTCATCTCAACCGTTTTACCATGATCACTAACATTGGGTTACTCTACCAAACCCAAATTTTCATTTGGTGGCTATGGGTTCGATTTTTAACAACCTACCATTAACTAAACTTATCCAATGAAATTTCATACATTTAAGGAATTTTTTTCGCTATCACAACATACCAGCAGGTCAAATTTATATAAAAACATGTAAAAATTAAAAAATATGTAAATTTAACAGTTAAAAAAATTTGACCTACGTCGACTTACTAAAGAATCTCCATTTAAGATATATTTATTAGTTCTTTTATAATTTATAACTTGTGTATTTGACTTTGCATGGTTAGTCTTTTTGTTTTGGAAATTTTTAGGTGCGAAGCCTTCTTTTACTCCACCAGGCGTAAGTGAGAAAAAAAAATGAAAACCCTACGAGCATAAATAAATTTATAAATAACTATATTTTTAGAATGAAAAACCAAAATAATACTATAATTGACCAAATATTTTTTTATAAACTTCAATAACATGCCTACAATATACTATTTGCGATATGTGAACAAAATCTAGACATTGGTAGAATGGATTCATTCAAGTAATTTCTAGAACCATCTAAAACCCGCTCAACTTGATCCGGTTGTGGTTTTGCTTAATATTGTAGATGTTTAATTGATAAATTCAAAATCATAATTTAAAATTATTTTTAATTTAAGTGTATTTTTATAAAAAAAATACTATAATAAACAACAGACCATGATTCAAATCATGGTATCAATTTAGCAACAAAACAACAAAAATTTTAAACTTAAGGCCGAAGAAAATTCCCATAGGCCATAACAAACGTTGACGCGAAAACCCAGACACAGGACAAGACGCGTTGGCTCATGGCAACCGTTTGTTTCCACACCCACACCGGTTTCCGTGCCGAATAATATCTAACCCTTTATAACGTTCTCTCTCTTTCGCTCCCTTATAAAAGCTCACCAGTTTCTTTCTTAACGCTTTACAAAACAAAATAATTGACGAGAAAGTTCTTCGATCACGCCCGTGAATTCTCCCGAAAAAGAAGAAAGGAAAAAGTTATTTCAATAACAGCTTCAGAATTTACGATTATGGCGCAGGAAGATTCGAGTTTTCCCCAACAGATGGTACGGAAAATTATTCGATTTTATTATTTTCTTAAAATAATTATTTGCTATTATTTTGGGTGTTCTTGAAGAGAAAACCTCGTAAAGTTCTATTGTGATTTTGGTTGTTTGTCTTGTGGAGCCGTTTCATAGGCCAATTCTGTTTTTTTTTTTTTTCTTTTCAAAAGGTGATTTTTCATTAATTCTTAAGCATCTTTGTCTCCGATCGTTTTTTGGGGGCCTTCTTGGAAGGAAAACTCGTTGCAGTTTCGTTTTCAAACTAACTTTTGTTCTTGAAGAGAAAACCTCGTAAATTTCTATTGTGATTTTGGTTGTTTGTCTTGTGGAGCCGTTTCGTAGGCCAATTCTGTTTTTTTTTTTTCTTTTCAAAGGG